GGAAGTCATCGACCTCCGAGGGGCTATATATCAGAGGGTCGCTCGGAGGACGGGAAAGAGAAGAAAGAGGAGAAAGAGGAGGAGGAGGAGAAGGAGGAGGAGGTGAAGGTGGAGAAAAAGAAGGAGGAGGAGGTGACCACCATACTAGCTTTGTGTGGGTACACCCTTTTGTGTATGCCCCGTGTATGTGATAAGATGAAAGAGTAAAAAGAAACGAACTTTTCTAAGCGAGTTCGAAAAATAAAAGAAAAAGAAAAAGAAAAGGAAGAAAGAAAGAAAGAAAGAAAGAAAGAGACGTTGAACAATATGGTAAGAATACCGGTTCCAAATCTAGGATAGTAGTTCGACCGTTCCATCATTCGCAGAGAACATTCAATGAGAATCGTAGAAAAATGTGCTCGTTTAGAAGAGAGAGAGAGAGAGAGAAACAGATAGATAGATAGATAGATGAATAGATAGATAGAGACAGAAGAGGAGAGACTAGGCAGCAGGCGGGCGAATGAGTTATTAGATCCGGCGTATCCGGTATTGCGTCGCGGATGACCAATAGTTTCATCGAGGGATTGTTGAAGGTTCCGGAGCACATTTCCGGTTTCCGTTCGACGAATCGTCCTTTCCCCTCTTCTTCTTCTCGCTCCTTCCTTCCTCGACGAAACAGAGTTAACACTCGAGTGAGAGAGGAAGAGAGAGAAAGTTATCTCTTGTTTCTCTCTGTTTCCAAATCTACCAACGAAAGGGAAACACGAACGAGAAAGAGAATCTCGAGAAGATGCTGAAGAGTTTGAAAAAAAAAAATTTAAAACCTCCCCGAAAAAAAGGGAAAGAAAAGAAAAAAAGCATCTTTATTATTTTTTTGTTTGTTAGTAAAGTAGCATAAAGCAAGGCACTTAATTAAGTCGACAATTCTGGGCAAGCCGAGGAAGTCGACACTCGGTACTTCCTTTAAATCTTGCCAGAAGTTCGTTAGAGGTGCTCTCGGTTGGCACGGTGAACTCTTGAAACTGATGGTTGTTACTTAGACTGCTCATATCTATCACGCTTCTCTTCTCTCTCTCTCTCTTACGCATATACGCACACATACTATCCTGAAGTCTCCTTCGTAGTACGGTTCTCCGTCGTCGCGGTTTTAGCACCGTTCCCCCGTGAAAGCCTGGAAACTCCTGTAACGTTTAAGTAGTAGTAGGTAGGTAGGTGTACCTCCAACCGGCAAGGAGGAACTCCGTCCGAGCGAACTATCGTTGAAACTCTCATACCTCGGAAACTCCCCTACGAACACACTCGGCTCTGTCGCCGGCAACTAACTTTCCGAGAGAGTAGGATGTCTCTCTCTCTCTCTCTCTCTTGGTTTTTGTTTGTCTGTCTCGGTTACTCTTAGAAGGAATCCTAGGTCGTCTAGAATCCGGTAGCACAGGCAGAAACACCGACTCCTCTCCGTCGCGTTACCTTCGAGTACTGAAGGCAGCTATCTCCTTAAACACAGCCAACAGGCACCTACGGACACATCCAGTCTGGCCACAAGCGTAACTTACTACTAATGCCATTCTCGTGTTCTTCCTGACGCACCCTACGTGTATTCCAAATTTCTCACGTCCTCTATGATTTTCAAGGCTCGTTTCTAACTTATCTTCCAACCCCGTGGTTAGAATTCAACGAGAGATTCTCGTTACGATAGTGTTACCTCGTTGAAATTTTCGAAGAGGAATTAATCAAACGTGCATTACCGATTATGATCTTACGGAAATCTTTACTTTGCTTAGTTTTCAAAGTAACGAGGAAATATTTTCGAGTAGCTTAGTGTACTCCGACAATTAACGACTCGCTCGTTTACCACCATCACTGGTTTGTTCAGGGAACTCCTAAATAAATTACCGAACGCGTAAACGCGTCCCACGTAGGGTATAAGGGGTAAAACGAACTTACACGTTCAAGGAATTTTCTGACCGAGTAGAAATGGGGGAATGCGGATAAGCTTTTGTAGATTTACGTGGTGTCGAAATAGCAACCAATACCAAAGACCTTTTCTCGGTCAGGGACCTTTATTGCATTACACAACCTGTAGTGTTTTTCCTATCTCCTCGTGGTCTCGTTATACCAGGATTTAACCTCATCGAATTGACCCCACTTTGGCTTAACTTTTCCTGCTAGGATATCATCTAAACTAATTCCCCGAATGACTCTGAGGAGAGACCCCCCGTCGATCTTAACGATTGTCGTTATGATGCAAACTAAAGAAAAAATCGAAGAAATTGCATGTTCCACGAACGTGTCAAACGTCAAGTTGTAATAACACAGGTAAAGGGATAAATAATTAAAAGCTGAATTTAATCATGCAAGACGGATAGCCACGCATAAAAGTTATACGGTTTACGTATTTACAGTCGTTTTATTTCCTTAATTCGACTCGTGTAAATCAAGTCCAACTGGGTGATCAAAGAAATCACGGTTAAGCAAAATATCAGCCAGCAATAAGATTGACATATTTATAATACATCGTCTCTTATAGGAATACGCTTTTAATGTAACCAAGTAACCATACAACCAATCTCACGGACGTATCTTCTAGTCTCGATCTTCGATCACTCGTTTATTTCATTAAATTTCTTTTACCGAGATCTTGCCAGTCGGTGAAGGAAATTTTCGTAATTACTGTCTGACTCACGATAATCTTCGTCGTTTAGCCTGAACGATATCAAAGAAATCAAAGCGATCGATCGTTATTCCTCGAAGGCTGTAAGTCGAAAGATAATCTCCTTTTCTCTTTCCCATACTCGACTAACAAATAAACAAGGAAAAAAAAAACATAAAAATACTTATGAGAGTCTAGTAAAGAATTCTCGGTATAATATGCAGAAAATAATCATCCCGATCCAATCAAAGATAAACGTGCCGGTTCGGAAAGAAAGAAATATAAAAAAAAAAAGAGAGAGAGAGGATACCCTAACGATGCGATTTACACGTTGAGAAAGAGACGAGTTCGCGCGAGTCGTTTTGGTTCACTGCGAGGAATCTACTGCTGCAGATTTACCCTTCTCTTTCTCTTCCAACTTAAAAGAGAGAGAGAGAGAGAGAAGAGAGTAAGCAAGAGCTATTCCTTAATTTCCCATATTGTGGTCCGTTCGAGCTATCCGTAGGCACCCCGCTGTGTTATAGCGCGGTTTAATCACACTACAAGCGCGCATCCCTCGTTAGTGGAATATCCGTAGCCATGGTGGCTATAATATGAGACTACATTCCTGGGCCTGAGACCCAGCCACCGCGAAAGAGAAAAGAGAGGGAAAGGGCTGGCGAATACACGTCGTCGACGACAACGACGACGAGGATGAGAAGGATGCCATGAAAGATTCTCTCGAGCCACTTTAAACCTTTGCCAATGCATTTGGTACCTTTTCATGGAATGTTCATCTTCAATGTTAGAATCATGTTCTGCAATATGTGCATTTTCCGGTTACATAAAGCAAGACTATTATCTCGTAATATTACTTGCGTTTTATAATCTATGCTTGTGTTTGGTTATGATCTTTTTTTTTTTTTTTCTATTGCAATCGAAGTTTCAGATGATAGAATGTTTGATGTGTGAGATTGTATTATAAACGATAAAGAAATCTATGGAAAAAGGAAGAATCGGAAAGAGCTGGGTGCCTCGTGGATTGCATTTGATAAACGTTCTTGAAATAAGAATAAAATAAGAAGTAGAGAAGGAAGAGAAGAAATAGATAGAAGAAGGTGGTCCATAGAAAGGGAACGGTGGGAGGTAGGAAAACGAGCGCTCGCAATAATTGTGATTTACGGCTAGGTCTTGGGTAAAGTAAAACGCCGCTGCGAGTTTAGTTTGAAACGGTGCACGGGTACTCTCTTTTTCCTTCTTTCTTTACGTGTAGAAAAAAGTCCGTCGCAAAGAGGAGAAAAGAAAAAGATAAAAAGATCGTTGCTAGGGTTGGAGTTAGAGGAACATTGGTAGGACGGTTGAAATTGTTGCGAGGGACGAACATGGAATGGGTAAAATCGTGGATTTCCTGGCTTTTGACAAATTGCTGATGGAAAGTTCAGCGAGCCGTGGGAAACTGCGGAATCAGCTATATCAACCTATGCGAGTAGTTAGATACTTGCTGGGACATGTTGTCTAGTTTTACCTTTAACTATGGCAACTTCCATTTTCGAAGATCTTTCTTTCTTTCTTTTCTTTTTTTTTTTGTTCTTTCACTATCGTCCGTCTTCATACTCTCCTCTCAGCAAGTCCCGTTCGTATTGGTACGAAGGGTGGTAGGACGCAATCAGTGTCCTTGATTTATCGTGGCAATATATATTAAGATACCGACATTAAAACTAGGGGAGTCTCCCGTGGATTCCCGTCTCTCCATTACAGCTTAGAAAAGAGATAGACAGAGAAAGGAAGAAGGAAAGAGAGAGTGCGAAGAATTGTCGTCACTTTGAGCTAAACCGTTTCGATGCAGAGAGGAAGATTGAAATTCTCGACCTGGCATAGATCCATTCTGCATTCCACGAACGTAAATCTTCTTATTTTCATTACTCCTCGTGGCCATGAATATAAACAAAATTATTCTTCATTTTTTTACGAGTATCTCGGTAACCATGCAGTTAATGAGCAACTATTTATTGGAAATAGTAAATGTTGAAATATATTCTTTTTTTCTTCAATGCATATTGTACATAACCCATTCATACTCTTGGACACACACACACACACACACACACACGAATATCCATACAAACATTGAGAGGAAGTTGAACGATGTCGCAATTCATTTCAATTTGACATATTAATTTAACATTTAATAGGAATAAGGCGACATCGTTGAACGAGGACACAGCTCGGTGATTCCTCGGCGTCCACTGTTCTCATATAAAAAGAAAAAAAGGTGAAAAAAATAAGATAAAAAAAGAAGAGAATAGTGGTTAGACCGATTGAAGAGGAGTTTCCGAGCTTGTCCAGTAGCAGCCTGCCAATTACGGAACAGAGATCTAACCATAGTAACGTGTAGTGTTTCCACCATTGTCCGCAGGTCCTAGCGGGGCGTATAGTCCGGACGCGACGATGGGTTATATGATGGACGGACAGGCGGCGAGCATGATGCACCGGCCGCCGGGTGATCCCGCCTTCCACAACCAGTACCATTACCCGCCCGAGTACTATGGACATCACTTATAAAGGTACGTCATTCGAGAACTTCGATCGGACTTTACTTCTAATGGCTTCCCTTTCTCTAAGTGAGATCAATGTCGTTTGTTCTTTCTTCTCTATCATGGCTTTACTCATCCTGAAAGACATTGACGTTGAAAATTATCCGACCTTTCGGATCTACTTCTTTCTTTCTGTTTTTTTTTTTTGTTTCTTTTTAAATCTATTTACAAAAAGAGAACATCACGAAATATCACAGATAGACTTCAACGCCGATATATTTTATCGGGTGATTTTTCGGAAAAGTTTGTGCAAGAAATTATATTATGTAAGAAATCTCAAATATTTTTCTTAATACGTTTTCATAGAAATCAAATGTAATTCAATATGTGTCACTTATAATTTTTATTATATTTACAATTAATTTGTATCCATCCTATCAAAAATTTCAATATTTAATATTATCATCTTATTATTCGAAAAAGAGGAAACATATTTATCAATTATGTTTTTTTTTTCATTTTTCTTTCAGTAGCAGTAACGTATCCAGATAAAAACAATGGAATGACGGTTCTTGCGGATTGGAAAACGTAAAATTGCGTTGAGACCACCGTGCTCCAGCCGGCGAAACCCCGAGAGTTACGGAAGGACGAACGCGAAAGATTAAAGAAAGAAAGAAAGGATAATCTACCGAAAGGGATATATCGATGATCCCTTAAAAAAAGGTAGAAGGTGTAACTCGGATAATCGAGGCTGATAAAAGTAAGAGGAAGGAATCGAGTGGAACTGAGAAGGTCTACGTGTACGCAGATGGGGATGCAAAAGACGGAAAGAAGAAGGAAGATAGAAACCGTCTTGAGTTGGTGTAAGATGAACGATTCGATCGAAGAATGATGCACCAGAAAAATGTGCTACGAAACGAAGAAACGAAGGACGGAACGCGGTCAACGCCTGGCGGGGAGGAGAAAAAGAAGAAGAAACAGAAATTAAGAAAGAAAAAGAATAATAAGAAGAAAATGACCGCGAGGGAATTCATGTGATTGTTCTTTGTACAAATGTCGCGGTGTATTATTGTAGTGAATGAAGAATTTAAATGTTAAATTTTAATACCGATCGCAATCGAGATATAATTAAATATGAGAACGAGTTAACGCGGTGATATATAGGCAATTTAGCGGACATGTACATTAAACTAGGGGGAGGAAATAAAAAAGAAAAAGATAATAAGCAGCTAAACGAGAGAAATAAGGATAGATAAAAATAAGGGAAATGAAAAGGAAAGGCAAAGAGAAAGATAGGAGATTATTAAGATGAACCAAGAAGGAAGAACTCTCTCGGTACAGCTCGCTTAGGAAAAAGAACGAAAAAAGGATAGGGTGATAAAGAAGAAGAAGAAGAAAAAGAAAAAGAAGCTAGGAAAATACGAGTGCGTCCGTGTATGTATACATGAACGAGAGTGAGATATGTCCCGAGAACATAAGTTTCGAGTATATATGTATACTTATATAGATAAGTATGTACATATATATATATGTATCTGACCAGATATATATATATATATTTATATATATATATATAATGAATATAAAAATGAAAAAAAATGGAATTTTAGAAGAAAAGAAAGAAAAAAAACGCGGTGCGCTGTGTTTATGATATAAACTATATTATGAGATAAGAAATGAAAAAAAAAAAGAAAATAAAACCGAGATAGAAAGGAAACACACATAGACAGAATGATCGAAACGCGTGTGCCGGACTCGAGGCGTCGATCGTTTATTTGCATATATATATAGGAGACATTTAAATTTGTACAGTTATTAATTATAAATGAATTTACTGATTAAAGGAAGAATTATGTATGTGTATATATAATTCTTATATATATATATATATATATATATATAACTAAGAAAAAGAATAAATATATATATATATATATATGAAAACATATATATGTATATATATATTTACATGAACAGGAGGGTGATTACGCGACCCACGGTTGTAATATACTGTAAGCGAGCGTCGCGATCAAGACTTGGACGATGATCGTGTTTGCCGGTGCGCGTATCGTAGGGGTAAAAAAAAAAAATGAAAAAGAAAAAACAAGCAAGAAAATGTGAGTGAGAGATAGAAAGAGAGAGAGAGGAAGAGTGAGAGAGAAAAAGAGGGAAGGAGAGATGCACGAGGGATGATAGTAATAACGAAAGTTTAAGGGTATGAAAAAAGACCCTTTTCCTCTCCTCTCCTCTCCTCTCCTCTCCTCTCCTCTTCTTCTTCTTTTCCCTCGTTCTCTCTCTCTCTCTCTCTCCTACTTTTTCACCTCCTCTTTTCACAGACGCGTACCTGCGCTCGTACGCGCGCGTAACCACACACACAAATACAAACACATACAGAGAAATACACACAGATACACTCTTATACACCTGTCCTCGTTCTAAGGATTATTAACGACAAAGGTACACGATTACAGTTTATTATAATATATTGTGTATAAATAGTTAATTGAAATTGCGAATCGAAATGAGTTTGTAGAAGGAAACAAAAAGAATAAAAATCTGTCGGGTATAATAATAATAATTAATAATAATATTAATTAATAATAATAATTCATTCGATTGGGGCTAGCCGTCCGAAGGACAGACGGAAAATGTGAACGAGCTTACGAGAGAAATAGAGAGAAAGAAAGAGAGAGAGAGAGAGAAAAAGAAAGAATAAATGAATGGAAAGAAATAAAAGATAGTAAGAAAGTAATGTACACGAAAATGATGTAGAATATATCCTTTTTACGCGTGTGTTAATACCGTCTCGAATATTTCATCAACAAAATCTAACGCGCGTTTTCTTTGCGATGAATTTTTCCATGCGATCTCTCTCGAGTGTTTCAAATAAACGAAATCGATATAGCTGGTTTAATAGAAAAGTTTCGTTAAATTACGCGAATACTTGCGAATTTAATGAACGAGAGAAGGAAGAAAATAATATAACGGAGAAAAATATAATACAAAGAAAGAAACAAAGAAAAGATCTTATAAGAGAACACAGAAGCGAAGAAGAATCAATTTTCACGCTTGGCAAAAATACACCACCCCCTAGAGCCCTTTCTACCCCTTTCCTTCTCCTTATCATTTTATTCCTTCTGCTTATAAAGAATAACACGCTACACTGATATTCCTGACGTTTCAACCCCTTCTTTTCTCTCCTTCCTCCCTCCCTATTTCATTCTTTCTTTTTCGTTCATTTCGTTCGAAGAAAATAAAAGCAAAATAAAGGACGAGAAAAAGTCTCGCTAAGATCGAATCCCTTGGCACCGCGAGAAGTCCACCCCCTTGACCACCCCTTTCTTATTCTTCTTATTCTTCTTCTTCTTCTTTTTTCCATCGTCATCCCTCCTCATCCAATCGTCGTCGAATTGATTTGATTTGATTTGCATGAAATAATATGACTCACCGTTTACTTTGCGCGGTTTGGAAAATTATTAAATAAAAGTAGCGAAATGGATACAGGAATTAATACGAAAGAGTATACGTTTGTTAAATTAAAATATGAAAAATAGTAGAAATAAATTGAAACAGAGAAAATAAAACAAAAACAAAAGAAAAGCCCGAAAAAAAAGAAAAAAGAATCGAGAGAGAGAGAGAGAGAGAGAGAACGCATCGTACAATCACACGCATAATACACGCACTCACAAACATACCTAAACAGGACAAACACTTTCCTAGAATGCCTGTATTTATCTCTTCCAATCGCTTAGTCTCTTGATAACGACGATCGGAGATCTCTATATTTATGTACGAATCTTATTCGCGCGCGCGCGCATCCTTGATATACGTAACGAAAAAAAAAAAGAAAGAAAGAAAAACAAAAAAAAAATTAAATAAAATGAAAATAGGAAAGAAAGAAAAAGCATAGGAACGCGGAAAGAAAAAGATGATCATAGAAAGAAATAAGAGTAAAAATTAATGAGGGTTGGGTGGGCTGGGGTGTCCAGAAATAATTTAACGAGGAAGTAGAACAACACAATCGTTCAAAATAAAAAAAAAAAAAACAGACATTTCTCTAATTATCATCGGAACAAAAAGAAGAAGAAGAAGAAAAAAGAAATTTTATTAATAATAAAAACCTTTTGTGAAAAATAAAAGAAATTTTGTTCGAGGAATAATCTTTAATCGACGATACGTTTATTGTCATGTATACGAAGACCTATAGATAATGAAAACTGAATGAAATAAAAATAAAAATAAAAGAGATAGATAGATAGATAGATAGATAGTTATGAAAAGTGGGAAAAGAGAAAGAAAAAAAGGACTGAGGGAGAGGGAAGACATATATAGAAAGAAGAGAAAAGAAATTTTTAATTAAATCTACCGTTGTGTGTGAGATCATCATGCGAAATAAATATCGTAGCGACACGGGCTGAAGGGATGCTTTTTTTTTTTTTTTCTCCAATCTCTTTTCTTCTTTCTCTGTCTTCCTCTATTCCATACTTTTTCTGTCACTATTTCTCTCTCTCTCTCTCTTTCTATCTAACGCGAATTTTCACTTCGACGATCGAACGATGCAATGTTCTATGCAACTCGTACCGAATCGTCCGAAGTTATCGATCGCGTTCATTCGAATCGAGAGAGGGAAAGGGAGAGGAAGAGAGAGAGAGAGTGTGAGGAGAGGATCAGGAGGTGGGAAAAACGAAGAGACGGAAAATGTTCGAGAAAGAAAGAAACAAAATGAAAATGTATAACAAAACTAAAGTTTACCGATATTTTCAATACGCTAACTTATACATACACGTATACCAATATGCAAACACACACGTTCACGTATGAATAAAAAAAAAGAAAAAAACGAGAGAGAGAGGGAGAATAGTAAATAATTTCTTTCTCTCTCACCCCCCTCGCTCTCTCAGATCACTTTCTTTTCTCTTTCTCTTTTTTCTCTTTTTGAAAAGCTTCTTCTTTTTCTTTCTGCCTGTCCGTCTGTCTGTCTCTAAAATGAAAGATAAGAAAGAATTAATTATGGTCCTTTTCTCGCTTAACTTCTTCGTAATGTCTCTCGCGAGATACGTGCCGACGATCTCGCGTGAGTTTCGAGTACACGTCGGCGTTCTAGTATACTAAACAAAAAAAAGGAAAAAAAAATAAAAATTAATCATTTTAAGTAATAATAATTATATTTAAAAAAAAAAAGAAGGTAACGATTAAATGATGATTAATAAAAGTAATTGCAACAAGAAAAAATTAACGATGAAACCGATGTATACCGAAAGACTCAGGTTCGAGAATTAAATGAAACGCAGCAAAAGGGAAGAAAAGTAATCCTAAAAAAAAAAATACAAAAAAAAAAAGAAAATAAAAAGAAAAATAATAAATTGAGATTGAAAGGAAGATGAAATTAATATGAAGTCATTTAAATAGGATATATATTACATTTTACGGTTCTGATTGTAATAATTGGAGTTATTCCTCGAATCTGTTTGAAATCACGTTAACGCGTGCGCGTGCGATTGTGCACCTGTCTGCTGCCGTGGCTCCTCTTCGTCTTATTCGAATTACACTGAAAAACACTTATAAACATAGGACTCATACAATAAGTACATTCATAGATACACTCATATGCATATAAACATATACAAAGCACTCACATGTACAATTACATCCATAACAAATATAACAAGAACAACACCGTACGGAGGATCGATCGTACGATTTTTTATCGAACAGGTAACGAAACGAAGAAGATAGCCCAATCAACATGTTGCTTTTCATCGTTTCGTATTTAAAAAAAAAAAAAAAAAAAGAAACAAAAAGAAAAAATCCAAAACTAATTCGAAACTTCATGCGGAGGAAGTTTCAGGCAAAAGATAAAAGTTGGAGACGTTGTTTAACCGAATGAAAATGGGAGAAAATAATAGTAATATTATTAATAATAATAATAATAATAATAATAATAATAATAATAATAATAATAATAATGATAATGGATAAAACACAAAAAATGGTATACGAGTTTAAATAAAACAGGAAATAATAAATAAATGAAACGAGAGAAAAAAAAAAAAAAGAATAAAAAAAGTGAGAGAAAAAAAGTAACAAATAGAATATATTCGAAGTTAGGCGCTTGTGAAATGATGCGACGACCGGTCGGCCCACTTTTTTAAACATAACGAAACGAAAAACAAAATATGAAAAAATATAAAAGAGTGTAACAAAGTTTTAATTATAAATGATTACAAATTAGAGATACACGTGTCTTTTTAATACGAGGACCAAGATTTTTATTAGTCTCGATTGGATCCAACAACGTTGTTCCTTTTACATGAAAAATGAGACGATGAGAGAGAAAGAGAGATAGAGAAAGATGGAGAAATATATTATATATATATATACAGAGAAAAAGAAAATGAAAGAGACAGATAGAAAGAGAGA